TATTTGCTCGCGCTCGTCAAGGAGATCCAGGGAACAGGGTTTGGAATACAAGGGCAGCAGCTGCAGGGCGGTTTTTGCCCGCGCGTGCCAAGGAGATCCAGGGTAAGCATTTGGAATACAAGGACAGCAGCAGCAGGGCGGTTTTTGCCGGCGCGCGTCGAGGAGATCCAGCTATTAGAACAAGAAGCAGTTTAAGTTTAGACATGGAAGGCGAGGAGAAAGACAAGCAGAAGCAGAAGGAGTTGGAATTGGGTCTGGCTGAGGCAAAAGCGGAGATAGCAAAGATGAAGCAAGCCCACAAAGAGGTGGAGGAAGAGTGGAAGAAGGAAGCGACTACGGCTGCAGATGCGGCGCGTGCAGCTGCAGATGTGGCACGTGCAGCTGCAGAAGCGGCGCGCACAGGGCCCTCTGGTGGATTAGGACCCGGGCATCAAACGGTGAGCATGGCCGACAGCGGCAGCCAGTTGATGAGCGGTCGTTTTGGCACTCGAAACCCGCCGAAGCACCCCAACGAGCCGGGAAAGTTTATGAGCTGGTCACGGAGGATGCGGACTTTCCTCGCTGTAGAAGGTCTGGAACAAACCCTCGATCACACACCGCCTACTGGCTACGTTCATATCATCGGCTGTCCGGACCGAAACTACCTCAACCGCATTCATGGAGCGCCGCTGGTGACAGCACACTTGCGGGCGTGGGGGTACCTCGTGGAGTCAATCAGCGGTTCAGACATTGAAGAAACGTTGTTTGCGTGTAGCTGCGTGCCGGAGGCATGGACCGCTATCCGTGAGTGGTCTTTGCCCACTACTGACGCCGAAAAGAGACTGCTTGAGCGGCAGTTGGAGACTGTGGAGATGTCCCTTGGTGAAAACCCGAAGCTCTTCTTCGCCAGAGTCGACGGTATCGTCAACACGATGCGCGCAGTCGGCATCGAAAAATCTGAGCGGCACGTTGTACAAACAATTGTCCGCCAACTATCGTCTGATTACGATGTCGAACGCAAGACCACCCTATCCGATTCCGACATTTCGCGTGCGGGGGTTGAAAGCATTGTTCGCAAGGCGTACGCTAACATTGTTGCCAACCAGCTGGAGAAGGTGAAGGTGTCTTCGGCGACGTCGGTGCAGCCAAACCACGATCCTCACGCGCTTGCTGTTAGTGGTTTTCGGTCCGGCGGCGACGGCCGCGGCGGCGGCGGCGGCGGCGGCGGCGGCGGCAGCGGCAGCGGCGGCGGCAGCGGCAGCGGCGGCGGTGGCATCGGTGGCGGTTCTCGGAGGGGCGGTGGTTTTTCTAATGGCGGGCGTGGACAGCAGCACAATACCGGGCGGTGGACAGCGATCCAGCAGCAACAACACTTCGGCGTGCAACCGATCCACCAGGCACAACAGCAGTATCAACAGCAGCTGCCGGGGTCGCGTCAGCAGCTGGGACAACATGCCAGACCGCAACCCCCGCCCCCACATCATCCGCCTCCGAATTACCCGACATGGGGGCCTGGGGGTCTCTTCGACTGTGGACGCAACGCCGTGTACCGGCAGGAGGAGTCGGCTCCGCCAGCAGGCGCTCCGATGGGCGCTGTTCACCGCTGTGAGAGGTGCGGGCGTAGCGGGCATACCTTGAGCGTGTGCAATGCGCCGCGGCGATTTGAGGGTGCCTGCTCTGCGTGTGGTGAGTACGGTCATGTGCGTCGTGTGTGTTCAACAGTCGTCGGTCTTCCTCGTATGCCCCCACACATCAACGTCGTTACTGCCGGGCAGACTCCCAGCGTCGGTGGTAAGTCGATGGTGTACCATCAGCAAGACGGCGGTGGTGCTGTAGTAGGAGACAGTAGTGGTGTGACGTGCGGGCCGCCGGACGGTGGTTCGATGTACGGGACCTTCACCGGTGCCGTTACACACAACGCTGCGCAATATGCTTCACACCCTACACCCCCCCAGCCGCAACAGCTCCAGCAGCAGCAGTGGTCACCTCATCAGCAGCTGGAGCAGCAGCAGCCGCCACCGCCGCAGCAGCAGCAGCAATATGGTGTTAGTGGAGTGGGGGGGACCGGATGGAGCAATGGTGGAGTACAGCCGTTTGTTGGGGTGCAGCATGAGAGCGGCGGCGAGTTTGAGGACCTTGCGGCCACGGGGGTGGTGAAGGTACCGGGGGGGGGGCAGACGGTGGATTGCTCCATTGTACCTTTGGAGGCTCGGGGCCAACTGGTGGTGCACCGTATCATCTTGGGGGGCATTTCTTTGCCCTACAGTTTGCCCTGAGTGCCCTCTCTACCCGCGACATGCTGTCCTCGATTTTCCCGCGTCGCCGTCCTGGATCGACTGTGTGGATTGGTGATAGCGCGTCTACCGTGCACGCGACCAGCGACGGCGCTCACGTCTACGACACTCGCCCTCCCCTCGCCGAGGAGACTTTCCTGTTCATCGGTGACGGTCGCAAGTTGAAGGTGGAGTGTTTTGGATCGCTTGATGTAGTGTTCCACTGCAGGGAGGATGTGGTGGTGACGCTGAAGGACATAGCGGTCGTGCCCGATCTTGCGTTTGACCTCGTCTCCCTCAACGTCGTTCAGGAGACCCACGACCTCCTCATGAATAGCGCTGGCACTTGGGTCCTCAACGGTCGCGTGCATTTTTCGAAGCTCCCCACCGGTAACTACATTCAGGCTACTCGGATCGCACATGGCGCCTCCCCACCTGCGATGGTGGCGGCGACGGTGCGGCCTGGGCGGCCCAGGAGTATCAACATCAACGATCTGCATGTTTCTCTTGGCCACACCAACGACGCGAATGCACGGGAGACCGCGAAGCAGCTGGGAATTCAGGTGACCGGTACCCGGGGATACTGCGCTGGCTGCGGTGAGGCGAAGGCGATTCGACGCAGCGTTCCGAAGGAGACGAAAGCCAAGGCGGGGAGGCCGTTTGGGCGTGTCTTCATCGATCTGACCGGCCCGTATCCGCCGTCCACGGGTGGAGCTCGGTACTGCATGATGGTGGTGGACGACTACTCCAACGTGGGGTGGACGCTGTTTCTTGCGGACAAGAGCGGTTCCACATTGTGTGACGCTTTTCGCGCGTGGTACGTCGACACCAAGCAGTTGGCGGGGACTCACGGTGGGTTAGGTGTTGCTCGTTTTGATAACGGGACCGAGTTCACCAACGCCGGCTTCCGGCACTTGCTGTCTGAGCTCGGGGTTGCGGTGGAATTTACCCCTGTCGATGGTGCGAAGCGCAACGGGCGCGCGGAGCGGAAGATCGCGCTTGTCGTCGAAGGGGGCAAGGCGGCGTGGTTGGAGTTCCCACGGCTCTTCCCGGACTTGGATTTTCCTCGAAAGGCAATGGCGTGGACGACGATCTGGCCGGAGGCGCTTGCTTGGATGAACGACACGCTCAACATGACCGCGCAGGCTCACACACCCGACAAGCTGTGCCCGTGGGAGAAGCTCTACAAGCGACGTGCCACGACTCTTCCGCTGCCGTTCATGATGCCCGGTTTCCGTCACCGTAACCGGAAGAACAAGACCGAGTCCAAGGGGGAGCGCTGTTTCTATCTCAACACCGGCAACAACCACTCGTCTACTACGCACAAGGTCCTCCTCTTCTCAGGGGTCTGCAGCTACTCCGCGGACGTCACTTGGGGCTATCGTCGGGCGCCTTTCGTTGGGGAGATACCCACGTGGGGGGGCGGAGCAGTAGTGGACGCCACGGACCCTCTCGGGGCACTGAGGGTAGCGGCAGGAGCGGCGGCATCGGCGGCAGCATCTGCAGCTGGAGCGGCGGCCCCCGGCTGCAGTGTCTTCCCCGCGGCGACGGTGGGGGAGGCGGCCGGGGCGCAGGCCCTCGCGGCAGGAGCGGCGGCATCGGCGGCAGCACCTGCAGCTGGAGCGGCGGCCCCCGGCAGCAGTGTCTTCCCCCCGGCGACGGTGGGGGAGGCGGCCGGGGCGCAGGCCCTCGCGGCAGGAGCGGCGGCATCGGCGGCAGCACCTGCAGCTGGAGCGGCGGCCCCCGGCAGCAGTGTCTTCCCCGCGGCGACGGTGGGGGAGGCGGCCGGGGCGCAGGCCCTCGCGGCAGGAACAGCGGCATCGGCGGCAGCATCTTGCAGCTGGAGCGGCGGCCCCCGGCAGCAATGTCTTCCCCGCGGCGA